ACCACAGAATTCGTTTATGAGAGGAAATCTAAACTCCAGCTAGCTCTTCAAACATTAAAACTGCAACGTCAGTCACATTTTCTGGAACCTCTGTATTTGTCAGAAACAGAGAAGTAGTTCAGAGGCTTGATAGGGGAAGAAGAAAAAAAGAGATGAGGGGAGGGAAGGGTGACCGTAGTAGTTGGTAAAGACGAAGATTACCTCTTCTATTCCTCCCTCTCTCTTTTGGCGCAAAATGAAACTCATTATGCTCTCATTTTCATAGTACTGTAATGTTCGCAGTAGCGGGTCACACGGCCGCGCTAAGAGTGCTTTCATATTTCATGGGGATTGGTCGATCCCTATGACGTGGGAAGGTACCCTAACCTGCTTTTTGCGCGCCAACCAGTTGGGCTACACCAGAGTAGAGGGGCGGCCAAAGGCAACACGTCATCTCAGCAATTTTCAAAAACCCACGACCAAAAACACTTACCGATATGCCTTGGTCGCATTGCCCTCGATCATACCACCATTTGTTTTCTAGCCGTTTGAGCTCTCCTTTCTCTTGAAGGTACAATATAGCCAAGTTGATTGAACCTCTGCAATATAAGTCTCGTGAGGAGCAAGTTTTATTTATGTTCGTGCTGACTTGCTATTGAAGGCTGTGATGTCCACTATTCATTGATTTTGTACAAGAATCTGTAAACTCATGCCTTAGTGGGTTTCCAATCTTGGTTGCTATTCCATATCCGAGTGTGTTGAGATTCTGTCCAACTTTCATTGTGTTGCAGGGTTTGCGACCACCTTCGTAGTTGTTCGTGGTCTCTTCCAGTAAAAACGCGTACTTTCCCTGAGTAGTAGTTTTTTTACTTGAATTACGAAAGAAGTCCAGAAATAACCTTTTTATAAGCCATAGTTATTTTGTACTATCTTCGCCAGCAGTGAAATCTGCGCACAAACTCACAGTCTGTTCTTCTGACCCTACCCATAACCCATCATTCTTACTGTAGCAAAAAGACGTACGAAAATGTTCTAGGCGCACTCAGCAAATTTTACGCGCACTAAAGAATTTTAAAATTATGCTTAGGTAGCGAATTCAAAGCATTTTGTCTATTCTTACTGTAGGACTACCGGACTGGGCTGAATTGCTGAGTTCTAGGATACTGGTCCTCACTCTGTCATAATTGATTTAAAGATGCTGATTTCCCTTCAGAATTACTTTGAATTGTTTCAGCTAAAGAAAAAGCTGATTGCACTTTATTGAATTGTTGATGACTCTCTCCATACTAAATATTCTGAATTATCACAAGTGAGGACCACGGCAATGTCAAAAGACTAGTTAGCGTTCAAGTGCGTGTTTGCAAAGATTAGAAAATGGAAAGCAAGTTAATATTTTTTTCCAAAAAATTCACAAATTGGTGGCTTGCTTCTCTGAAGCGTACACGGTCTAAATCAGTTTTTACATGAATCTCCCTCTCTGTAGGTCCGTCGACTATGATCAATACGCTCTAACATTGCATAGCTTACCTTGCTAGTCCTAACTCGGTCAATGCCCTCCGCGTAGGTGTCCACAAAGACCGATTCGGACCTTAATTATAACAGTAAATCAGTTCGTAGCGGAAACAACATCTGCTCACACTTGATCCTTCAAGAATTTGTTGTGCTCGTCAAACATGAAGTCCCACATCTTTTTATACAACGGAACAGTGGAGTCCTGCAAAGAAAAATAAGGACTTTATTCTTCTATTCTTTGATTTCAAGTTTCCATATATTTCTGTCTTGAAGGATGAGGTGATCAGTACTCTAAAATCTAAAACAAGCGATGATGCTTCAAAATACCTCGAAAAAAGCGGCAGTTGATCCACCTTTTACCACTCCATAGCGAATTTTGTTTTGGTTTGCCAAATCTTCTACAGATTCGATTGGAGGTGTCATCTTCTCTAAAATAATAAGGCAGAAGTTTCTGAGCGTTTTCTGCATATTTTGAGGAGGGAGAGAACAGACAACACGTTTCAAAAATCGCTTTATCAAATAGAATGCTGAATTTCAAGCTCAGGAGACAAGAAGCTTGCTTTTATATTCAAAACTTAAAAAGTTCGATGTTTAACCCAGATAACAGCGCGACCCAGGTGTGAATCACCCATTGTGGGATACGTGGGACTGTCCAACCAATGGTAGTCAAACTTTTCGACCACCTGTGACACTCTAACTTTTATAGATTTTTGATCTAACAGGTAACTTACCTTCAAACAAAACTAGTACAGCAGTGAACAATAGAGAACAACGAAGAAGCGCGGTAATCCCATGCGCCAAGTGCATACATAAGTAATGCGCAGTTGCCGATGGGTTTAAGTAGTTTATATTGCGAGAAGGTTAGTTCCGACGATTTTCTTTTTGCAAAGAAAGTTTGGAAGATTGGTTTTGTATCAAAATCCTGCATGGCTGAAGTGCAGTTTTGTTTAAATATAGGTACGTGGCAGATAACTTGCTGTTCAAAGTCTCAAAATTTTATCATTAGATTAAAGTTGTACCCTCTAGTTATACGCAGTCGGACAGTGCAAGGAGTTTTTTTCTTAAAAAAATTGCGCTCTCTTCCAATCTGATTAGTTGCGGAAGATTTTGGTAATCCATCAGGGTTAAGATACTTTGGAGCGATTCATGATAGACGTGTAAGTTTGACTAAAGCGCATTACATTTGCATTTTTATTTTTACTCAAACAGTCTGCTGACGATGAAGAATTTTAGTGATGGACTGATATCTTGCCTGGCCTGATATTGTCATAATATCACTACATAGATTGATTCCTTGTATGGATCACAGAAAATAATATAGACGTCCTTTCGATATTGACTTGATTAATTGACTTACCTAAAGTTAGGAAAGCTGCCAAGTTTGCTGTGTAGGAAGATACAATGATTAGTGTGAAAAACCACCAGGCAGATGAGGCAATCCTTCCTGAGAGGGCTCTATAACCATATATAAACTAAGGGCTACTGACTGAATTGCGAGAAAAACTGAGAAAAAACACAAGTACGAACTTTGGAAGAATGTCTGTTCCTTGCTGCATGAAAGCTGCCAAAGTGAACCATAATGAGTTGTACATTGAAAATTCATTAGAAACTGAGAATTCGCCACGATTAAATTGCACGCGTTGCTCATATGGTGAGAAGGAGGAGACCAAAAATATTGTTAGTGAAACCTGGAATGAAGTAGGATGATTTGAAAATGAAGGATATGTTATCCTGCTTACAAGGTAAAGGTACTCATTTGACTCGGATATTCTAAGTGGAGTGTGGCAGAA